TATATTGCCTATAATCTACAACTCTTATATATCGCCTATAATCTACAACTTTTTATATATCGCCTATAATCTACAACTCTTATATATCGCCTATAATCCACATCTTTTATATATCGCCTATAATCCAACTTTTATATATCGCCTATAATCCACAACTTTTTATATATCGCCTATAATCTACAGCTCTTATATATCGCCTATAATCCACAACTTTTATATATCGCCTATAATCTACAACTCTTATATATCGCCTATAATCCACATCTTTTTATATATCGCCTATAATCCACAACTTTTTATATATCGCCTATAATCTACAACTCTTATATATCGCCTATAATCTACAACTCTTATATATCGCCTATAATCTACAGCTCTTATAACCTATAATCTACAACTCTTATATATCGCCTATAATCTACAGCTCTTATATATCGCCTATAATCTACAACTCTTATATATCGCCTATAATCTACAGCTCTTATATATCGCCTATAATCTACAACTCTTATATATCGCCTATATCCAACTCTTATATATCGCCTATAATCTACAACTTTATATATATCGCCTATAATCTACAACTCTTATATATCGCCTATAATCTACAACTCTTATATATCGCCTATAATCTACAGCTCTTATATCGCCTATAATCTACAACTCTTATATATCGCCTATAATCTACAGCTCTTATATATCGCCTATAATCTACAACTCTTATATATCGCCTATAATCTACAACTCTTATATATGCCTATATGGTGTAGTGCCGTGTGTACAGTAGGTCTATGTCTGTCTGTTATTAGTCCCAAGACACTAAGGTGGGTGTGTGTCCGTCTGTGGGGACGGTACTGAGAGAACTACTACACCTTACAGTAGACTTGACCTGACCTAACCTAGTCTAGTCTAACCTAACCTATCTCAACCAACCCCTAGCCTACACTAATCTAACCCTAACCAACCTAGCCTGATCTAATCTAACCTAACCCAACTTATCTCAACCAACCTAGCCTGACCTAATCTAACCTAGTCTAACCTAACCTGGCCTGACCTAATCACAACCTAGCCTGGCACACGATCTAATCTAACCTAACCTAACCTATCTCAAACCAACCTGCCTGACCTATCTAACCTAACCTAACCTAGCCTGACCTATCTAACCTAACCTACCTATCTCAACCAACCTAGCCTAACCTAGTCTAACCTAACCTAACCTATCTCAACCAATTTACCTAACCTAACCTAACCTCGTCTGACAGATTGACCGATTGATTTCTTGACTGTGTTTGATTGCTTGCTTGATTGGTTGCTTTCTTCTTGGTGATTGATTGGTTGCTTGATTGATTGGTGGTTGCTTGCTCTTTGATTGATTGTGTGAGTGCTTGATTGATTGATTAATTGTTTGATTGCTTGATTGTTTAATTGCTTGATTGTTTGCTTGCTTGCTTCATTGATTGATTGTTTGATTGCTTGATTAGTTTTATTGCTTGATTAATTGATTGTTTCTTTGATTGATTGTTGCTTCTTTGATTGCTGATTGATTTTATTGCTTGGTTTCTTGCTTGCTTGATTGATTGATTGCTTGATTATTGATTGTTTGTTTGATTATTGATTATTTGATTGATTGTTTAATTGCCTGCTTGCTTGATTATTAATTCTTTGATTGATTGATTGCTTGATTATTGATTGTTTAATTGATTGTTTAATTGCCTGCTTGCTTGATTATTGATTGTTTGATTGATTGATTGCTTGCTTGATTATTGATTGTTTAATTGTATGCTTGATTGTTTGATTGATTGTTTAATTGTCTGCTTGCTTGATTATTGATTGTTTGATTGCTTCATTGCTTGCTTGATTGATTGTTTATTAAGCTTGACTTGATTTTCTTAAGTTTATTTATTTTTCATAATGCCAAGGTCCAAGAGGGTAGTGAGAAAAGTTGTCTTTCTTTTCTTTCTTTCATTTTCTTTTTCTTTTTTCTTTCTTTCCTTTTCTTTCTTTCTTTCTCCCTTTCTTTATTTCATTTTTCTTTCTTTTTTTTCTTTCTTTCTTTCTTTCTTTTTCTTTTCTTTCTTTCTTTTCTTTTTCTTTCTTTCTTTCTTTCTTTCTTTCTTTCTTTCTTTCTCCTTTCTTTCTTTTTCTTTTTTTTTTTTCTTTCCTTCATTTTTCTTTCTTTTCTTTCTCCTTTCTTTCTTTTCTCTCCTTATAACAATATCAGGTGACTTGCTGTCCTGTTTCTCTCCCTTCCATCACGTCAATATTAAGACGTCACACACACACACACACACACACACACACACACACACACACACCTTATACAGATCACGTCACGACCTGGCCTTTATATAAACCATCCCAACAAGAGCTGTTTACTTCGCCTCTGTCACCTGTTTGATCAAAGGTGAGGGCCATTGACACAGACCAGGAAATTAATACTCGGAATACAGCCATTAGAGGTGTGTCGAGTGGCTGGCTGGCTTGTCTCTCTCCCAGATAAGTCAAGATAGGTCACCTTCACACTAATAGTGGTTGAGTGACTACTATTACTACTACTACTACTACTACTACTTTATTTTTTTTATACGTGGCCTCCAGCTTCTCCCAATAGCCTTCGCCGCCATTTTATTACCTTAAAATCAACTATCCTAATACATAAGTAGCTACCCTACCTGTGTTGAGTTAGTTGAGCCACAGATCTATGCGGAATTCAGTGACTGTTGCCTCAAAGTCGATATCTGCGACTGTTGTCGGTTTTGGGGCCGATGCCCTCGTTCCCCTGAGGCAAGGCAATGCGGTACTAAGCAGAGAAGGACAGTCGACATCTCAACCAGGCTGTAACATAACTTCTGGGCTGCTGCTTCCGTTCAGATAACACCTTCGCGAGTCCCATCCCGCCCGAGGTTGTGAACACCAGAGAATGAAGCTGCTTTGATCAACGTTCTGAATTCTCTCCCCATATGCCCTAATCTTGTCGTTCTCGTTCCTCCTGTGTGCAGCATCGAGAGCTAAGGTTGCGGTGACATGCGGCCATGGGATCAAACTCCTTATGTCAAAAGGCTCGCTGTCCCTGTGTCCCACGGGCTTCGTTGGATGTGTTTGAAGTCCTGTGACGGAGGTTCTCACCGTCCAACTACTATGACTGTTCTCGGCTTTGGGGCCGAAGATCTCGTTCCCCTGAGGCAAAGCAATGCTGACCTAAGCAGAGAGAAGGACAGTCGACATCTCAACCAGGCTGTGACGTAACTTCTGGGCTGCTGCTTCTGCTCGGACAACACCTCCGCCAGTCTTGCACTTGATCCCATCCCACCAAAAGTTGTGAACACCAGAGGAGTGAAGCTGTCGTGATTCACATTCTGAAGTATCTTTTTATACGCCTAATCTTTTCGTTCTCGTTCCTCCTGTGTGCAGTGACATGTGGCCATGTGGTCGTATATCCTGACATCAAAAGAAAACACGCTGTCCCAACGTCCAGAATTCTCGAGCACTGACGTCCACACGGGCTTCGTTAGATGTGTTGGAAGCTCTGTGAGTGGAGGTTCTCACCGTCTAATGGCAGGAGGATCGGTTCCACAGTGACATCATGGAATTTCTTTCGGTATATTTGTTGTGAGATCCTTTACTTCGTCACGCCTCATGCATACGAAGCCCCCTTTCTTACACCGTGGCGCAGTCAATGTCATAGGGTGAGCCACACACGCATTGGGAAGGCAAACCTTCTACTGGCCAACCATGCCTTAGAGCAATGGCATCTGTAAATTCTTGTGCATTGAGGCTGAAACCTTTTGCCCTTACCGGCAACATTGTTCGCCAGTTCGAGCGCGCATCGCTTGTGCTCTCTCTACTTTTTTCAAGTTCTCTGGCAATTGCTGCAACAAATGTTGCAGTTTATCACTGAATGTGCCTGCCGTCCTGTCGTAATGGACCGTCGAATCTTGTTTAATTCGCTGGTATCCACCTGACTTGTGCATTCTGAGCTATTATGTGCTCTTGAGGTCTGCCGTGAGCTTGACTGAGTTCTGATGTTCAATGGCAGCAAGCTCCTCTGGATTGGTCATTCCCATTCCTCCCAGACTCGGTGGTCGTGCAAGGAGTGACCTTTCTGATGGAGTTAAGTGATGGTGTTTCACTAATGTTGAATAAAAATACTGCTACCACTGCTGCTGCTGCTGCTCTGCTGCTGCTGATGATGATGATGATGATGATATTAGTAGTGATAATATTAATACAAAAGTAGTAACAGTTATTGAAAAACACAGCAGACAAAGACTTAAAATATACAATGACCGGAGATGATCGTATGGTGATCTTGGGAGGAAGCTACTGTAGGTTATTTAACAGAAGCTTTCAGTACAAACAGGACAAGAACGGTGGAGTACAGAAATATGTTAACTATGAGTGATAATTTTACGTTGGTTGGAGAGGGTCTGGTGTTGTAGCCATTAGTGTGTGGTCGTGTAGGCTGTAGCTGTTATGGCGATGAATAAGGACTAGGGTATCTGCTGGCATCAGTTGGGACGGTGGAGCAGCTCTGTCACCAAACTGTTGCTAGATGGAGACATGGTGATGAGTTTATGGCGCTGAGGGGCCAGTGTACTGAGTGTCCTTGATGGTAGATGTTATCTCTAATTCTGACTCACCGAGTACAGTGAATTAATCCATCCAGTAAGATACCTTAACACCTTGAGTTATGCAAGACTGTTTTATTTAGGTTCAAACTGGAGTTGAAGTTTGTGAAATCTGATTTAGTTTAATTTTCTTTCCTACTTACATTTAACTACTTATTAATGTGTATTATAATTAATTATCTTAAACTATACGTGTTTCATGTTTTATTTTAGCTGCTGTGATCATTGTGTGATGTTTTTATGTATTTATGTATTATGTAATGTTAGTTACAAGTCTTGAGTTTGTATTTTGGTTATGTGGAGAAACTGTACTGTGGTTCACTGTCTGACACCAAAGAATGAGTGACACGCGGACGGCTTGCTGTGTGGGCCTCAGGTATAGGGAGACTTGTGAGTTGTAGTGCTGGTCATTGGTACATTGTAATTTGTAGTGCTGGTCATTGTTACATTGTGAGTTGTAGTGCTGGTCATTGGTACATTGTGAGCAGTGCTGGTCATTGTTACATTGTGTTGTAGTGCCGTATTGTTACATTGTGAGTTGTAGTGCTGGTCATTACATTGTGAGCTGTAGTGCTGGTATTGGCAATTGTGAGCTGTAGTGATGGTCATTGTTACATTGTAAGTTGTAGTGCTGGTCATTGTTACATTGTGAGTTGTAGTGCTGGTCATTGGTACATTGTGAGCTGTAGTGCTGGTCATTGTTACATTGTAAGTTGTAGTGCTGGTCATTGTTACATTGTGAGTTGTAGTGCTGGTCATTGGTACATTGTAATTTGTAGTGCTGGTCATTGTTACATTGTGAGTTGTAGTGCTGGTCATTGTTACATTTAAGTTGTAGTGCTGGTCATTGTTACATTGTGAGTTGTAGTGCTGGTATTGGTATTGTGAGTTGTAGTGCTGGTCATTGGTACATTGTGAGCTGTAGTGCTGGTCATTGTTACATTGTGTTGTAGTGCTGGTCATTGTTACATTGTGAGTTGTAGTGCTGGTCATTGTACATTGTGAGCTGTAGTGCTGGTCATTGTTACATTGTGAGTTGTAGTGCTGGTCATTGTTACATTGTGAGTTGTAGTGCTGGTCATTGGTACATTCTGAGCTGTAGTGATGGTCATTGGTACATTGTGAGCTGTAGTGCTGGTTATTGGTACATTGTGAGCTGTAGTGCTGGTCATTGTTACATTGTGTTGTAGTGCTGGTCATTGGTACATTGTAAGTTGTAGTGCTGGTCATTGTTACATTGTGAGTTGTAGTGCTGGTCATTGGTACATTGTGAGCTGTAGTGTGGTCATTGTTACATTGTGAGTTGTAGTGCTGATCAATTGGTACATTGTGAGCTGTAGTGCTGGTCATTGTTACAGTGTGAGTTGTAGTGCTGGTCATTGGTACATTGTAAGTTGTAGTGCTGGTCATTGTTACATTGTGAGTTGTAGTGCTGGTCATTGGTACATTGTGAGCTGTAGTGCTGGTCATTGTTACATTTGAGTTGTAGTGCTGATCAATTGGTACATTGTGAGCTGTAGTGCTGGTCATTGTTACATTGTGAGTTGTAGTGCTGGTCATTGGTACATTGTAAGTTGTGTGCTGGTCATTGTTACATTGTGAGTTGTAGTGCTGGTCATTGGTACATTGTGAGCTGTAGTGCTGGTCATTGTTACATTGTGAGTTGTAGTGCTGATCAATTGGTACATTGTGAGCTGTAGTGCTGGTCATTGTTACATTGTAATTTGTAGTGCTGATCATTGTTACATTGTAATTTGTAGTGCTGGTCATTGTTACATTGTAATTTGTAGTGCTGGATATTGGTACATTGTGAGCTGTAGTACTGGTCATTGTTACATTGTAATTTGTAGTGCTGGTCATTGTTACATTGTAATTTGTACTGGTCATTATTGTGAGCCTGAAAGTTGTCATTGTTACATTGTAATTTGTAGTGCTGGTCATTGTTACATTGTAATTTGTAGTGCGTCATTGTTACATTGTAATTTGTAGTGCTGGTCATTGTTACATTGTAATTTGTAGTGCTGGTCATTGTTACATTGTGAGCTGTAGTGCTGGTCATTGTTACACTTTATCGATGTAAGGTCGTCCCATTATAACTACTACTGTATATAGCTTTTGGGAGCTAATTTTGTACCTTAATTCAATCCTCTACCAAATGTGTTGATGATTCAGTGTCCCGTTGGTTCACCGAGAGTTGGATGAGTAGTTACAGTTGGGTTGGGTTGTGTTAGTTAGTTAGGTTGTTAGTTAGGTTGTAAGTAGGTTGGGTTGGGTTAGTTGGGTTAGGTTGTGTTAGGTTGTTATGTTAGGTTAGGCTAAGTTGCGTTTGGTTGGGTTGATGTTAGGTTAGGTTGGGTTATGTTAGGGGTTAGTTGCTGCAAGTAGGTTGGGTTGGGTTATGTTAGGTTAGGTTAGAAGATGAGGTTAGGTTAGTTAGGTTAGGTTAGGTTAGGTTAGGTTGGGTTAGGTTAGGGTTAGAGTTAAGGTAGGAGTAGGTTAGGGGTTATTAGGGGTTGCAGGTTGGGTTAAGCTTAGGTTAGGTAGGGGGAAGTAGGTTAAGCTAGGTTGGGTTGTGTGCTAGGTTAGGTTGTTAGGGGTTGGGTTGGGTTAAGTTGGGTTGCTAGGTTGTGTTGAGTTAGGTTGGGTTGTGTTAAGGGTTGGGTTGAAGAAGTTAGGGTTGGCTATGTTGGGTTAGGTTGTTAGGTTAGGTTGCTAGGGGTTAGGTTGCTGTTAGGTTAGGTTGTTATGTTTGGTTAGGTTGGGTTATGTTAGGTTAGGTTGGGTTATGTTAGGTTAGGTTGGGTTGTGTTAGGTTAAGTTGGGTTATGTTGTGGTTAGGTTGGGTTATGTTAGGTTAGGGGGCTTGGTTAGTTATGTGGGTGTAGGTTAGGGTTGTTATGCGTTTCGGTTAGGTTAGGTTAGGCTAGGCTAGGTTGGGTTAGGTTAGGCTAGGTTGGGTTATGTTACGTTAGGTTGGGTTATGTTACGTTAGGTTGGGTTATGTTAGGTTAGGTTGGGTTGGGTTATGTTAGGTTAGGTTGGGTTAGGTTAGGTTAGGTTAGGTTAGGTTAGGTTAGGTTAGGTTAGGTTGGGTTAGGCAAGGTTGGGTTAGGTTAGTTTAGGTTAGAGTATCGGATCACTGAATTTTCTGACCATTAAACAATCGAACCAGTAAAGCTTCTGCATACGGAGTCGTAACCTCCTTGTATGACAGGTCACTAAGTGGGGATACAATGGGGGATTTAGACACCAAATTGGGTATAAAGTTGGGGAAATCGTGTGTCCTCCTCCCCTTTGTCTACGATGGTGCTTCCTCAATGGGGGGGGGGGGTTAATAGGGGGTTCAGATTCTGTACGATACTGTTATAGAATCTGTGTGTGTGTGTGTGTGTGTGTGTGTGTGTGTGTAAAGAAGATGTTTATACTGTCTTTAATTCGTCTACACATTAAAGACACTATCGTTCATGGTGAGGAGGGAGGTGGGGGTGGGGATAAGGGGTGTTACCTATATGTTACATTGGTTAAGTCCCCAGTTAACCAGGTTGGTAACACATATAATATAATTGGGCTTTTGGTAACGAAACCCAATTGAAGTTTCTTGTTTTATTATAAAAGGATTATGTCTATAATTCCTGAGTGTAGATCAACCGTAAGTTCCACTGTATATGAGTGAACGAGAAAGAGGACGGCGCTTATGAATGTAAACATTGATCACGTCCGTTTGATATTAGTTGGTGTGAGTGACTGACGAGTAGTGACCCATCGAGGGAGAGCGGTGTGGGTACGTCGTCCCCCCTCGAGGGAAGACGGAGCCATCCACTGCGGCTCTCAAATAACGTCAAGGATATCAAACTACTGCTCACTTCAGGTGGCCAGAGAGCCAGCTACTTTATCCCTTTACTCAGCATAGTATGACCAGCTTCCCGTGGGCACACCTTATCACGTGCATTGAACATGTCACCTCATAGCTAGTGGAAAGTTACAGGGGGTGAAATCTGAATATAAATCAGATGTAAGAACCCAGGGGCCATTACAGGTGGAGGGGCGGGGTGGGGAACTACAGCGAATTACAAAATCTATCACCATCACTGTCCATTCATTTTGTATGTTTCTTTTGTAACTGTAACTGATTAAATTCCTTACTTTTTCCTGGTTAGGTTAGGTTAGGTTGGGTTAAATTAGATTGTGATAGGTTAGGTTAGGTTAGGTTGTGTTTGGCTAAATAAGGTTGTGTTAGGTTAGATTGGATTAGATTAGCTTGTTTTAGGTTAGGTTAAGTTGTGCTACTTTAGATTAGGTTAGGTTAGGTTGTGTTAGGTTAGGTTGTGTTAGGTTAGGTTCGGTTAGGTTCGGTTAGGTTAGGTTAGGTTAGGTCGTATTAGGTTAAGTTTGATTAAATTAGGGACCTGTTAGGTTAGCATTAGAGAGTTTATTCACCAGGTGAAATAAGCTGGAGTGTCTAATTTTCAGGTAATCCAATATAAACGCTTAAACCCTTCAGTCCTTTTCCCGTGTTGGCTTCATCAATATGTGTAGTGTCTGCGGCTACATCGTAATGTGTGTCCAAGCGTCAACTTCTGATGTATTAAGCCAATGTGTCCTCTCCACTCAGCTCAATGTGTCCTCTCCACTCAGCTCTACTCAGCGTCCTCACCAACCATTACACATCTTAGTGGTTGGTTTGGTTGTCAAGTGAGTCGTGCAGCTACATCGACAATTTTTTTACGGTCAATTTATCGTTTATTTTAGGGGACTTTGTGGCATGCTTAGCAAAACAGTTCTTGACGATGTGAGAATGAAGAGAACTTTATGGATACGTCACTTTTAGCATTGATATGATTGTTAATATTTGTTGACATAGTTGCTTGGTGGAGATGTTCTTGGCTATTGTGGTGACGGGGATAAACTGTTTTTTTCTGTGACAGTTTGTGTGTTATGTAATGGAGGGGTAGTTATAGTCTTCTCTTTCACACTTTACTGGGATAAGACGTATGAGATTGGTTAACATCTGAGTCAAACTATCCTAGGTTGAGTTAAGTTAGGTTAGGTTGGTTGGTTCAGGCTAGGCTAGGCTACGTTAGATTAGATATAAGAACATAAGAACATAAGAATGAGGAAAACTGCAGCGGCCTATTGGCCTGTTACTGAGCAAACCTGTTTACACCCAACCCCTATTGCTCATAAGGAGCATCCAACCTATGTTTGAAGCTATCCAGCGATTCGAGTTAATGATGATATTTGGTAACTTGTTTCATTCATCCACTACTCTGTTTCCAAACCAGTGTTTACCTATTTCACGCCTAAATCTAAATTTGTCTAATTTGAAACCATTGTTACGAGTTCGCTCCTGGTTGGATAGTTTGAGTACCTTTGTAATGTCACCTTTGTTTAGCCCTGCCTTCCACTTATACACCTTTATCAGGTCGCCCCTCGCTCTACGTCTCTCAAGGGAGTGCAAATTAAGAAGCTTTAACCTGTCTCTATACTCAAGGTTCCTAATGCCCGGGATTAGTCTTGTCATTCTCTGAATTCTTTCCAAGGATTCTATATCCATTCTGTAATACGGTGACCAGAACTGAACTGCGTAATCCAGGTGTGGTCTCACAAGAGCAAGATACAGTTTTAGGATGACCTCGCTAGTCTTGTAACTAACACTCCTTTGTATGAACCCAAGTACTTTATTTGCCTTGTTACGAGCAAAAACACATTGTTTACTTGGCTTAAGAGTTAAGGTTCTTACTTATCATTACTCCTAAATCTCTCCCGCAGTCGTATTTCTCTATGGCATCGTTGTTCATCTGGTATCTGGTTTCTCTGTTTACATCTCCTATACTGAGTACTTTACATTTGTCGACGTTGAATTTCATCTGCCATTTTTCAGACCATTCGAAAAATTTGTTTAGATCTTCCTGTAGTTTTGCCTAGTCCTCGTCAGATTTGATAACACGTCCTATTTTAGTGTCATCAGCAAATTTACTTATGTTGCTGTCTATGCCGATATCTATGTCGTTTATGCATATAATAAATAATAATGGTCCAAGTACTGAGCCTTGGGGAACTCCACTTGTGACGTTGCTCCAATGGGACTTAGTGCCATTAATGCTCACTCTCTGTTTCCTGTCCTGTAACCACGCCCTAATCCATTTAAGGATATTACCTTTGATGCCATGTGCTTCTACCTTTCTAATTAGTCTTTCGTGGGGGACTCTGTTGAAGGCTTTGCTAAAGTCGAGATATACCATATCATAATTGTGCCCCTCGTCCATCAGATTCGAAAAACTGATGAAAGAATGTTAATAGATTAGTTAGGCAAGAAACGTCCAGCTTGTGAAGCTGCTGGGAATCAATATTGATCAATCCGGTGCTTCAGGCAGATTTCTGGAATAGAGTTTGAAATGATTGCTTCCAGTAATTTGGGTTTACTATTGATGTTAGACTGATTGGCGCAGTTGAGTGATGGTGATCTATCCCCTCTTGAAAATCGGTATTACATTCGCTATCCCTCCAGGATTCTGGTACTACACCCGTTTTGGCGACATGTTAAAACAACTTTGCTAAGCGGGCATAATAAGCCTTTCCTTACATTCCTTAATACTCTGGGCAAATATCTCATCGGGACCAGGTGACTTATTAGGGCTTTAGTTTTCTATTTGCTTACTAACATCGTTACTAGTCACTACTATCTCACTCTAATTTGTTTTCACTATCTC